GAAATAGTGAAGACGGTAGAGGAGGTGAAGTGGCTTTTGCAATTCATCTTTTCACATAATGGAATGCTGATATTTTAAGCTGGTACAGTGCCTATTCCACTTGTGGAAATTGTGCAGTGTCATACGGCCTAGAGCTTTGCTGCCCGTTTCTCACCAGATAAAGTTTAGCCAAGGGCCACTTCTCTTCAAGTTCCAGCATCTCCCAAAGTGCCCTTTGCCCTTATGGGGAAATATGGCACAGGGCCTGGGATTCCCAAATTTCCCTGGGTTTGCTCACACTTGCATAGATTTGATTTTAAGAGAGTGATAGTCACTCCCAGTTTGTCAGAGGCCCCAGGTTTTCCTTTCTGCAATAAACTTAAGCTTAAATTAAAATAATTTACCTTTTAACTAATAAAGCTGAGGCATGAAGTTGTTGATTACAAAATTCACATTTACAAAATGTTGAATGAGAGCGATGCTTCTGAGCATGTCTTAGGCTTCTTGTTTGTTCCTCAAGTCAGACAGCCTTGTACTGTAAGCTTTATTTAAAATCCTTTCTGTCTGTGACACTGTCAAAGGGGCACATTAACTATAATTTGCTTATGACTATTCTGTGGCAATTTGAATTCACGTGGTCACAATGCAAAGCAGAAGCAAAAGGGTTAGACTTGGTCTTGCCAATGCTGTCATTTTAGTGAGAGGATATTTATTTCTGAATTCTTTGTTAATATGGTTTGTTTCACTTCCTTAGAATTTCCTGGCTCTTTGTGCGAGTAACTACTACAATGGATGCATATTTCACCGGAATATAAAGGGCTTCATGGTTCAGACAGGAGATCCATTAGGTAAATTCGTCTGTTCGGGTCTCTCTATAGAAAAATAAAACATAAATAAAAAGAAATTATAAGTATGAAAGTTAAAACCAAAATGTAAGCAAAGTAAAAGATAAGAATTACTGTTTTGTTGATAGAGGGTTTTGTGGGGAGATTAGCTTTCTGTGATGAACTTACAGAAGAGCAGCCATTACCCTAGTTCTATATAAACATGCAGTAGTAAAGCATTCTACAGACTTTTCCAGCTGTTTCCACTAAATATGATGGTTCTGCTGGCTCACCAGCAGTGGAACAGGTAGCAGTTGCTATTGTGGTTTCTCTGATTTCTGCCTGAAAGGCTACGCTGCCTTTAAAGCATTGGTGGGAAATGTCCCAGACAGTGTCAGCTGTTTTGGGGAAAATCTGATTCAACTTCGAGTTTGTACTCATACTGAATTTAATGTGAGGATATGTCAGTGCTTTGTTCTGCTACTTAATAGGTGTTTCTTATTTAGAGTTATGTCTCTGCTGAGTAACAAGACGTGAGAACCTGATCCCTGCCTCAAATGAATTACAGGCTATCTGTGGTCTTTGTTGTAAAATGTTATAACAGTACATTATTTCTAGAGTGTTCAGTCTGAAAATCCAGTAATCTATTGTGGTGCTTCTTTGTCAGGCACTGGGAAAGGAGGTAACAGCATTTGGGGCAAGAAGTTTGAAGATGAATTCAGTGAATACCTAAAGGTATTTCTGTGCTCGCAATATGCAGTTATTTTCATACGAATTTTCTTTACAGGTTGGAGAACACTCAGCGTTGTGTTGTACTGTATTAAATACCTTTCTATTAACTGTGAAGCAAAGTCTAATCCTGCAATAAAGGGATAGAAAGCTTATTGTTAGAATGGGAACAGGCATTTCTGTACTTGGCAAGTTAAGTTTGAGGGTTTTCATCACCAAGAACAGAAATAGAAAGAATTTGTAAGTACTTTTCATGTTCTGAAGGGAAAGAAGTAATTTTTCATTGTTAGAGCAATTTTGAGGAGCTAATTATGGACTGTGTTGGAATATATTTGCAATCAAGATTTTTTTCCTAATAATGGTATTGAAGCAGAGTACTAAGTCACAGAGCACTTCGTACAGGCTAAAGTCCTGCTTTTACACATGTGTATCCATGTTGAGGTTTTTCCCTTCTTTCAGCACAGTGTCCGTGGGGTAGTTTCAATGGCAAACAATGGCCCAAATACCAATGGATCACAGTTCTTCATCACTTACGGCAAGCAACCGCACCTAGACATGAAGTACACTGTGTTTGGAAAGTAAGTGATCCAACTGCAAGCCGCCATATCATAGCGTGTGAAGGATCTGAATATTTCAGGGCACATGCAATGCAAATTTAGAAGCTTCTGGTTCTAAAACCGTTTAAAATATTGGCTGTATATATGTAAATGTATGCTCTTGCACTGTCACCAGAATTAGTTGCTCCAAAATGCCACTCCCTTCTTCATTGTAGGGAATAAGTATATTAAAAATTACCTGAATAATGGACCATTCTTTTACTTTTTCTCTGCCCCCCCCCCCCC